TATTAGAATAAAATTACTTTGATGTTTAACTCCGAAGACGCTTTAAGAAAAAGCTAAATTTATTTATCTAAGATCAGTAACAGCTACATACGTAATTAACCGACTAATGTCCAATATAATTCAGATGTAAGATGTTAGTACTTTATCTCTGAATTCTATTATCCAATGTATTGTATATTTCCAATTTGAAATACAAATAGACAAAAAAACACAAATAAAAAGTTTGTAGAAACTGAAATCTTCGAAAAATTCTTTAAAGAAAAACAATAATGCAATTTAGTTAAGAATAAACGCCATAAAGTTTAAAGTTTAAAGTTTTCTCTTATATATATTATATTATATTATCTTTTATTTCAAATCAAATTATTTATTGGACATAAACTTGGAAAGTTACACTCGGTAAGTCTTTTACAATTCAAATTAAATATAAAATTCTAAGTAATGCAAGTCAAATATTATAATCATTGTAGGACTGTCAAGGAGATTATTTTAACAATTCATATTAATGATATGTATTCACAAATCAATTAAATTACTTTATTACAAATTATAAAATAAAATATTTTAAAACTCAATTTTGACCAAAACAATGCGATATAGAAACGCCAATATACTTACCCAATTTTTATCGCAATATAAGGAATTCTGTATAAATAATATTAGATGGATTTATTGCAATAACAAATTGAATTGTAAACAATGGTTACTATGGTAACATTTTGATTCCCTATATAAAACATTAATTCCCATTTTCATCCCTTTAAGTGCTAGTTTTCAGGATAAAATAGACCTAAACTAAGAAGTTTCATACAAAGGTTTTCACCCCTTTTCACCCCTTCGGGGTGGAATTTCCAAAACTCCTTTCGTATTACACCTCTACGTAATAAAAGGCATGTAGCCTCCTAATTTCAAGTATCAGCGGTTTAGAATGTGCTTTTATATATGTATAGATTGTGTTTACTCGGCGTTTTTTTGGTCCGATTATTGGTCGTGCTTTCATTTTTGTCCCTGCGAGTGGAAAATGAAAAAGTATAGATATCAACTTTATTTCGAGAAAATGCTATTGAAACCGGACGCCAATCATTTAATAACTAAACCTACAGAAGACCTCCGCCCGACTTCAATAGAATTTTTTTTAATAAGTCTTTTTTGAGATAAGTATTATTTATCACTTGAAATAAACCCTAACGGCATGACCATCGACAAAAAATAACACAGATACGGTTGTTAGGTGATCAGCTGTCAAAGATCCGCCTTTGTGGTAATTTACAACTTAATAAGCGGCACTTTATCAAATATAAGGGAAGAGATCATCGCCATCTTTCATCCATGTCATTTTCATTTTACGCGTAGAAATTAAGGGAGTCACTTGCCATTGGCAGAATTGTGCAAAATGCGCAGATAAACCATTAATAAAAGAAGAACTTAATAAGCGCTTAAACAAGGGTGCGACACTACTTAATTTGATGCGTTTTATCATTAATGAACGTTTATAAGTAAGGCTGTTTAACTTTATGTTGCTTCAAACTTTCATGTTCATTTACATTAGAGTGACTGTTTTCAACTCAATAAATACAAAGTACACGGTAATCCCGTAGAAAACTATCATTCTAATTAATAGCTACGAGCTTATGAAAGATGGACTGTACTAAAATAATCTGATATATTTGAAAAACACTGTAAAACTAGGATAATACAAATTGAATGGATATTTAAATTATACAACAAATGAGATCATGACGTAAAGAGATACAAGATTTTAAAAGACCAAAAACTAAAACGTCAAAATAATATTCAAATTAGAAACGAAACTTTATAAAAAGGTGGGACGACAGCCAGCTGCTAACACAAAAATTTATACTTAACTCCAGATTTCACACAAAATCATTCAGTGAGTAAAATCTAAGAATTGATGTAACATAATATGAAATAAACCTTATCATATAGTAAATCAAATAGTATATTTTTATCCAATATTTGTACAAACTTAAATCTTGTCAGCAAAAATTAAATAAAGTTACGATTTATTATTAAATATGGCTACGTGTTAATATAACAAAATTAACACAAGTTTTAGGTTCACATATTCGTATTGATTAACCTCCCCTTGAAATCACAAAGTTAAAGGCATCACAGCTAATGTTGCCCTAAACACATTCCCATGTTGGCTGCAGTAGGGTAATTAGTGATCGCGGATCATTATAATACCAGCTATAAATTAAATTAGTGCTTGGCTGTACTGAGAGCGGACGCAGAAGCGAGTTAATAGGGAATATTTCGCAAAGACAGCACTGTATAGCACACGTATTAAACAATCTTTAACGAACGCCGTAAAGGTGGCGGAGTTCTGGGCCGATGACATTTAGTTTTGGATGCCATTGACACGAAAGAAGAAGAATAAGAACGAACATTTTGTCTTTTGATAGTGAATGAATCTCATTATTACATTCTCTTATGCGTTATTTGATGGATGATATCAACATTCTGTAATTGTACACATGGCAGCACGTCAGGTTACCATAATAGGGCAAATGATCCTGTTTTGGTCATTTCATATTATGGTCATATTATGTCGACTTTGAGGTTTTCTTAATTTATAGTTTCGATTATAGCGAACATATTTCTTCTAAAAAACTATTTAAACATATATTATTATAACCTTATCTAAGAAAACCCATTTGTAAAGAACATCCATGGAAAAATAATCCTATAAAAAAGAAAGAAAGAGGCGCGTTTGTGCACTTTTTGGTCAGATTCATCCCATTTCTAGTCACGACAACGTGCCAGTTCTGTCCATAAAAAATAAAAATCAGATAAAGGTAAAGTAGAATTTATTACTAAATTACACATTTTACAACCAGTGGTTTTTATTTAGGTAGGGACTTCACTTGAATTTAACTTACAAATAAAGAAATGATCAATCTTGTTTAAATTTTATATGATGTTTTTAAGAAATTACTTAACATAAAATAATAATTTTAATACCCATTTTTGCAAACTATATAGGTGATCTCAATATTTCCTTTTTTCACGACAATTATTTTGTTGTTAATTGATTTTGGTAGAGGCATTTTATTGCAACTGTAAAAATGAAAAGAACTTATTATAAAAACACATACGTAAGTAAAAAACGTTAGGATAAAATACAAATGGCCAGAAGTGTGGTTTCTATGTACACCACTTTTGGGCAGCCATGTGGCCAAAAATGGAAAATTTAACAATTTTGGTCTCATTTGTGGCCGACCGGCTCATATAAATCTAAAAAAAAACAATAATTTCAAAAATAATTGATGATTATTCATCCTCTCGCCTTAGCCTTTTTCATAAGCTCATAACGATTTCACGCTAATTTTTTATAAATAATAACTTGTTACATCGAAGTTATAGCTGTCAACGGTATCAGTGTTGCCAATATTCAATATTTTAAATACCGTACATCATAGAGTAATTTATTTGTCTATACTTTAGTTATAATGCTTTGAAGTCCCACATGACCACAAAGGGGTCGATGGCCACAACTGAGTCACCTGCCTTATGTCAAATTTTATCAGTAGATTTTAACATTTACTCACAAAACATTTACGTTTGAAATCAGATATATGACAGCTTTATATTGTATAATCTGACGTGCTAAAAGAGAGAGAAAAATGAGAAAAATTTAACAAAATAAACTATCATCAAAATTCAAAAGTAGACATCCTCACAACTTTAGGTTCATTAACAAAGAGGAAATAAAGCAAGTATAGCAAGTATAAGTGAAAAAGTATTTAATTAACACTTTTCACCAGGTAAATCAAGTCTTAGCAATATTTACCTTTGTCTTAATTATAATTTATTTAATTCCATTACTTTTGTGAAAACCAATCACTAAAAGAAAATTATCTACCGTGCTTACAAAACTTATATGAAATTGCTAGTTTGTAAATCGCTCTCGCTTGAAGTCTGGCTGCACAGTTAGAGAATCCACCGTTTGTTAGGATTAGCTGCAGCTATTAATTACCGTGGCAATAATTGATACTAGATAGTCCTTGGGATTGTTCATGTAACCACACCCGACTTTAATAATTTAAATTCTAGGAGAATATAGAGTAATATGCGTAAAAATATGTGTACTTTCTCGTCTCCGACTTTATAAGCGCTAAAAGCTTTTCAAATCAATTACTGTTAGAGAAAATTTTGTTTATAAGTAATTTAAATGTAAAAACTTTATTTATTTACGTGTTAATGCACACAAATAAAGGCTTGTTTTTTAATGAATTTTTTTTTATTATATCTATTTTGCTACAAATGGCTTATTTTTTTTAAATACAAGCTATTATTTTGTTTCAATTTTTATATAGAAAATAAAAGAAATACTATTGGACACAATCACAATACAAACAAAATATTTTATGAAAGATTTGAATCTATTAAATTAAATTATTAAAAAAAAATACATTTGATAAAGTGGTTTTTTTAAGCATTTTTCATAAAAATAAATAATTTATTGTATACAGTAGGTAGCTTACTTTGGCAATAACCCCAATTCATTTTCATGCAGAAGGTTATTTTAATATTTCTACTAGGTTCGATAATTATTAAATAACATGTCCATCATGCTTCAATTATCAAATAATTGCATTTAATGATAGCCGTGCAAATCTCAGCAATTATCTTATAGGTGCTAATCGAGTTACACTACTAATTCCAGTTTCAATAGTTTACCAACCGTCATTTATCAGCTACCATCCGTTTCGTTGCTTAGTATTCCATTATCTTTTGCATTCGTACAGTAACTAAATTATAAAATTTGTTTTTTGTCATTTGTGGTATCATGAAGACACTAGGGACGAATCGTCTTTAGGTAAATAAATAAATATCTTTAATATACATGAATCATATACTGCAAAACGGAACGTTATTTGTTTATTGAAACATTCCAACAAGATTGGCAACAAAAGAACTGCTTAAAAACTAACGAGGACAGAATTTCAGACAATCATACGTTGAAGCTTCACTAAATGGCAACCAACGTAAAATGGCGTCCGACTGGTGCTTTCATTTTTGTTGTTCTGATGGTGACTAATATAGATTGTTCAAAGGACCTTATAGAAAAGATGAGTATTTCCTTTTTGAAAAATGTACAAGATTGTAAAAAGGAGGTAAGAATAAGTATTGAGCTAATGTTAATGAAGTATTGACCAAAAAACTTATTTTATAATAGTAACATTGCAAATTGTGCAACTGTGACTTTGATAAATGAATAGTGCACAATATAAGATTATAATCCTTATGAGTTTATAATTTTCGTAAAATTATGTGCTTGAACTTCATAGTAATTTACATATTTGACAGTTGTCGGCGCCAGACGAGGTGATTAAGAGTCTGATGAAATTTTGGGAAGAAGATGCAGATCTTTCTCACAGGGAATTGGGCTGCCTAATTCTGTGCGTAGCCTCTAAGCACGAGCTGGTCGAATTAGATACCTATAAACTACACCATAAGAACGCTTTTGAATACGCGAAAAAGCATGGTGCAGGTGAAATCAATCATTATCTCATTAAAATCCTTACTGTCCTATTTTTATTTCTCCTTTGAGACGATAAGGCTAAATGTGATCAACACAGGGTATATTCTCACTGTAGTATTAATGCAAGCCTCATAGTAGAAATAAAGATTGATCCTTTCCTCCTTTCATCCTTTTTAGATTGATTGTCGGCGAAAAGAGTTTTGAGATTTTTATATGTTAACTGAATTTATTGAAATTAAAGAATATGTTTTCAATAAATTCATTATATCCAATAATTTATTGAATTGAAGATTTATTGCAAATTCTTATTATGGTAAAGATAAAAAAGTTGATTCTGAAGAGTCAAACCAATATTCTAAAATTTCGTCATTTTATCGTCACTAACTGTCACTGGTTTATTTGCTTCCAGACGATGACACTGCAAAGAAATTAATAACCCTCATCCAAGGTTGCGAATCACAAAATGAAGGGAATAGTGACCACTGTCACAGGATACGGGAGATAGCTAAATGCTACCACGGTCACATGCATGATTTAAAATGGGCTCCTAGTATGGAGGTCATCATAGCAGAGCTTATGGCGGATATGTGAATAAAAACGACTATACTATATAATTTCGGACCTAGAATTGATCCTTGGACCACTCTTATTCATGAACATTCTTATTTAAATATGTAATTACATCTGTAACTAATATCTGTTTTTACTGTTTATTATTACTATGCTATTTACTGTCTGTTTATAAAAACATTATGTTTCTATATTTTCACCGATTTTGAATTCTAGGTTAAGAAATATAATTGTAAATGACTAATGCAGTTTACAACGGACTCTGATAAATAAATACAAGGCTCTTCTCCGTAATATATTATTGTATTTTCTTTCTTTAGATAGGTATTTTGATAAGATTCCTATATTCACAATATATATTGAAGACTGTTATAACAGCTTTTAACTAAGAAAAGCTCGATTTTTGTTTTGTTATTTGTGTGTATAGTATAAAACAAAGTCGCTTCCAGCTGTCTGTACGATCGGACCTTTTGAAATACACAACGGTTTTTGATGCGGTTTTGTGATTCAAGAAGAGGGTTTATATGTTAAATTCAACACCACGCGGTCGAAGCCACTAGCAGAAAGCTAGTTTAATAATAAAGAAACGTTGAAATTAACTGAACAAACAAAAACAAAACCAATACGATCAGTCATATCATAAAATTACCCCTGCTTAGAATTGCCAGATACCATAAAAGGAAAAACACGTGTGTTTGTTTAGCATTCGCGTCAGTGCGACAATAAACAGGACCCAGGTGCATGTTCCTAGGGGAGCAGAGATTTAGAGGCGTACGCTTCTTGTTTAGCCGTTTGTATTTCATAGGCGCGTCGGAACCTCCCGCCGTTTCTATAAATTGTGGGCTGTTCCCGTCTGATTGAATTTAGGAGTTTTCCTATTTCGCTTTAATAGTTGTTTCATTGCGTGTGTCAAAGGAAACGCCCGAGTTGTTGTCTTTTTTTTATTCTATTCTCTATATGAATTTATTAATTGATTTTTCAATGATGTGGAAAATTATCGATATCAATTTCTAAACATTTGATATATGTAAATACATATATCAAATGTTTAGAAATTGATATATCGATATATAAATTGATATATACAAATCTTTGGCACGAATCATACAATAAATAATTTACAAAGAAATCTTTGTAAATTATTTATTGTATGATTCGTGCCAAAGATTTGTAGAACTTAGTAGAATGTATTCGAAAACTAACTCATAATGTTTGTCTGTCAATCATAGTATAATGTTTTAGTGGAGTATATATTCGAGGGTACCCTAGTCTATACAACCTAATCCTAGTTTCTTCATAAATCTACTTGCACAATAGAAGGTGCCGACGTAGAGTGCATTAACTCTCACCAACAAAGCTTCGGCTATCGCTACATCAGACTTCGATTAAGTCCAGCTCAGACTAGATGTAGTGACGACTGGAGTCGATTGTACTGTCACCGTTAATGGTTTAGATGTAAACAGAATTATAACGCAATTAACTGTAAGTACAAGACTTGGGAGTGTTAAAATTAGAGTTCGCAAAAATCGGATATATATTATGCATATGAAAAGCTGCCATTTTGAAGCTGCCGGTGGCTTTATTTAATATTTGATCTTTTAAAATTTTCAGAAAGTTAGATAGCTGTTTTAGCCAATTTTGCCAGCGTCACATCGGGTTGGTTAATTTTCTAGCTGATAGTCAATTCTTTATACTCAAAGTAACAATAAATATGTATTATAAATATCAATTGATATATATCAATCGATATATATATCCGTTGATATTTATCAGCGGAACCTGGTTAAAATAGGGATACTACAATTAAAATATAGGGATGACGACTGGGTAAAAAAAATAAATTCTAATTAGTCAAGCAGTCAGATAGAGATAGATATGTATTTTTTTGTTTTAATTTTAACAAGAAATAGCTTAGATAATAGGCATTAAAGTTGAGGAGTGGCGGCTCGCTACGTTACAGTTTTGATGAAAATTTACAAAAGCGTGACGTCATGCGACATTTTTACTCAATTTATCGCCGTATTTTATTGATTACGCATAAAATAGGTATTTAATATTCTTCAATAATCTACCTGATGGATGAACAAACAAAAATTAGTCTTTATCCCTATTCAGATTTGGGTTAAGTGTTGTATACCAGCGTGGAGGGTCATGGCCCATCCTCCTTAACCATCCATAAGGAAGGCCTGAGCCCCTGCAGTGGGGACGTAAAAGGGCTGGTGATGATGATGATGGATGGTTGTATAGTATTTCAAATACAGAGCAGTATCAATTTCAAATAGACTTCTTAAAATCGGAAAAAAACAGATCTTGCTGAGTTTTTTGCCGTGTTTGTAAACAGATGGTAGTTTATAGTTTCAGATCTCAGAAGTACTCCTAGCTTTGATAAATGTGTTATTGAATGAAAACGTTATTTAAATTATTATAGCTTAAATGTTGTATAATCTAATCTAATTCATCAAATTCATCAAATTCATCGTGGAGAAAAGATATTTAATTTTTTTGTGGTTGAGTAAAACACTATTTAATAACAAAACACTTTATACCCTTTTTAGGTCATAAATATTATATGTTTTCTTTTCAATAAAAAATCATCACGGCTTTACACCTCAGCTAATACTTCTTCAATAACCACCTCCACATTCGGTTGCCAGTTGACCTGATGTATGCCTTCACGAATACACTTCGCTAATTCTAATACACGGAGACAGTCATCTGTCATTTCACTGACATTTTGATGGCAAGTTTGTACCATGTCCTCCAATTGGGTAGCTGCATTTGCACCTATAATATTTGCATACAGACATAACAGTCAACAGTTCAGGTCAGATTTTAAATAAACATAAATGTAAGTAAAACATGATAAACTACTAAAGCAAATTATTAAAAATCTTCGTACGGTATTGAATTTAATAAGCTTTGAACTCTCAATGATTTCAATTTGTGGTCATTTTTATTAATACATTTTCATATTATTGAATTGTTATAAATGTTTATTAACATGGCTGTTTAGGTAAATTACTTGAATATTAAAGGAGAAACGCTTACTTACAAGTACATAAAATTAATAAGTACTTGCGAAATTTGTTATTCTCATTAAGATCTCGGGTAATTCAATTGGCTAGTGCAGCTGTGTTATATAATTCCATCTCTATCACGAGACGACCCAAAATACTTTAAATAACGATCTTGAGACCATCAAATAAATAAATAGATATAAAACATCATCACATAGATTGCTGAGATTCCATATGAGTTGTCAAGCTTTAAAGTAAAGTAGAGGGAACCAGAGCACGTGTCAGATCACCCATGCGCTAGACTGAGATGGCGAGAGATCGTGAGGAGGGCTGTGTCCACCTATTACCTCTAACATTAACATAGACCCCTTAACGTGACGACGACCGCTATGCCAAGAGCGAAGCGACAGAGAAGAATCCAGGCTTTTCGTATTATGGAGTATCTGAGATAACGAAAGTATCACATACCCAAACCCGGGACAATATAGTAAAGTTGATTGGACCAGGAATAGAACCCAGCATCTCATAGATTAACACCTTAAAATCGGCGTGCAAACCAATCGTCTACGGAGGTCGTCGATCAACAGAATAATCGTTTTTGGATATAAGAATGGTTTAACTACATAATGACGAATAAGTTATTACTATTTTCCAATACAGCCAGAAGTGAGGATAAGGATTTTACCAGCCCCGTGTTTCATGACGAATTCCTTGGTGTTCCCGTGTTCCAGTTTGCCATCCACGTTAAACAGGTCCAGTTTCAGACTCATACAGTGTAGTACGCAGCCAGCGTCTCGGCTCACAGCCTCATAATTCTGTTTCCAGAGCTGGTAAAAATCTAGCATGATGCCGTCTGTGAACTCGAGCTAAAAAACGATGGTAAAAACTGAAGATGCAGAGCATGAAATAAAAATATTTTAAAGGTTTAGAACATGATAGGATAAACACCTCTAGCCAGCCCGTAATCGATCTAGCGCAGAGGTCGTCTTTCTGCCTGTATAATAACGGTCTTTGTTCTTTAATTAATACAGCTAATTTTTACTATAAAATCATGTTAAGTAATGATGATAATTAATTAAGATTCAAATACCGCTTAGCGTTACCATTCAATTAACAAAAATAAAATTTACTTCAGTTGCACAAGTCTTCATGACTTTTATTAAACTGCCACTCAATGACTTCAAGTACTCAGGCACCATTTCTATCTCCTTCACACCAAACACAGCGAATATCACGAAGATCGAAATAGCAATACGTTTCCCCATATCTAATAACCAGGCTAAAGCGCATATCAACGCTGGCTCAGGGCTTATATAGACGGCAATCTGGGGTGTCATTTAATTAGCGTTTACAACACTTTAATTAGATTAAACACCGTTTAAAAAATCGAGGAATGAGCCAAGTCCAGACAATTTAGATGCAACAATGTATTTTGCACTCGTCACAGTTATATTACTCAAGACATGAAGTAGCATTTAGTAAATGTAGGTCTAAGTGATAGTTATACATGGGATAGCTATTACGTAGGTACTTTATATTTAAAGAGTCCCTGATACTTCCGTACTGTTGCTAGTGCCATGATCACTGTGCTTTGTTATTCTAATGTTACTAACCAAAAATATTTAAAGCAACACCGTTTGACCAAGTGTACTTCGTATCACCTCTCACTGTTTAAACCTTCCCTTTAAACCTATGTCAAACATTTCAAAATAAAAATCAGCTAAATTGGCCCAGCCATATTCAAGTTTTTGCAAAATAAATGAAAAGCAATTGATGGTTATGTATATAGATTCCTAGCTGTTTTACCCGCGATTTTGCACGCGTAAATTATGGCCTATGTTAATCCCTTATGATGACCGATTTTAAAGAAATTTTAATATCGGTCCAGTAGTTTTGGGGCTTATTCAAACAAACAAACAATAAAATCTTTTAATAATATAATATAATATAGATGTAGTTCTGATTATTTATGTCTTGGTGATACATGCATATAAGTAATACTGGTATCGACGCGGATGTAGTGAGAAATTTGTATCGAATGATGTTTCAAAATGTACTTTTGCACTCTGGAATATCTCCTGTATTTTGATATTAAAAAATATATTTCTATGAAATTTATATTGGTAAAGTACTAAAAACTATAAGAAAAAAAACTATTTATATTTCAGGAGTAACTATTAGCTAGATTACCAATGATTTGTACTTATTACCAACTGAATTTTTATTCCCTAACATAAATTGACAAGTCTGTATTTAATATTTTTAAGAGGACTTTATCAGTATAAGAGCAATGACAATTTAACATACTTAATTCCAATCAATAACAATTTATTGTAATAATGTATATTATATCAAATCAAATAAAGTTAAATTATTCACGGAAGAAAAGTATTTTTTTATTTACCATTATTAAGTCAAGTTCTCAAGCTTAGTCAGCCTTTTATTCATTTGCCTAAGCATCGAACCCGTCACATTATGACTATGTTTATATTTGCAAGGGCTCTGGGGTAAAGATATAGATAGAATACATAGATTACTCTTTATATCCTAGAGAGTTTTTATTTATTTGATTTTCTAGTAGGTAATCTTGTTCAGATGAATACCCTTACTAGCAGACTACTCTTACAGTGTTCTGCCAGTGGGTACATCAGGCACCCAATGTCGGATCTGCGCGCCACTTCGGAAGCAATTGGTCACATCTAAGGCAACGTTGCAGGGATCCCGCGACTGTGATGAGTTCCGGCACTCAACGATCAGCGATATTAGGTTCTTTGCCATTTCGTCATCTAAGGACAATATCATTTCCTGATTTGTAAAAAAAATACACGTAAAACTATTAGTTAATATTCGTAAATATATTTGTTTAAAAAAATAAATTCAAAAACTAAAACCAGTCTACAATAGGATATGAATTAGTACATTTCAAATACTCAGACAAGTGATAGCTTTTTCTTGCCATTTTGCTTATACATCCGAATATTTCTTGTTTCATTAGATAGATTCAAACTTTTTAGAGTGTGATTTAGCTGTAGTCGGGCTTTCGTTTTGAACTTTTTTATTGAATTAATTTTCGAGTGTATTAATGTCGACAAGCAAAATCTAAGTATTTGAAATGTGCTAATTAATACCTTACACGAAATGATTGAATAATATATTTGTTTTAGTTTTTTACTTCATGCTCTCTAGAGGGCGCTATTGCTAATTTAATGTAATATCATATAGCTTATAGTACGCGGACAACCAAGACGCTTCTAATGATACCTCATTTATCCAGTTACGATGAGTAGTTTCGAAGTTATAAAGGAACAGATGAACATTTTTACATACATTTTCGTTGCGCCGTAGGGTAAAAAGGTGTGAAATATAAAAAAAAGGAAAATCATGAACGCAACAATGTTATTATTTGCAACTATTCGTACTCGTCAGACAGAATGCGTTCAGAAATCAATTTTATTGAACTTTAACAAATTACTTATAAGGTAGTAAAATATAAGCATCGTGGTAACAACCAATCGAAGTAGAATTTAGAAATACCTTGTTGATATTTTAAACGATCCGTATCATGTTAGTATTTCAACTCAAAAATAATTACCAGCGCCACTGGCTATGGCAAAACCCTGAGCGTTTTCAGCCAGAAAATTCCCATCAGAGTCGACAAAATGCAACTTCGCTGCTATACAAACCATTGCGCACCCAATAGCTCTCTTGTTGAGCACGTTATTTAATTGCCAGAAATGCAGAAAGTCGTTAATTATATCCTCTCTTAAAGGCCACTAAAAATACGATTATGTAAGTTTCAGATATAAAAAATAATCAACAAAGTCAAAGCGCGATTTACACTTTTTGAAAATTAAATAGTTTTAACATACTCTTTTGTTGCATTCGTACAATTTTCTACTGAAAGTGTAACTCATTGTCTTCATAGCATCAGTGTGATCGTCGCCATCCACATACAAACACCATAATAAAAATATTGCTATTGTATTCAAATTCATTCCAAACACTGTGTGAATTTTATGAAGCAGTTGTGTATAAATGATTAGTTACAGTGAACGTGTGAAATTCATTTTCATACTTCTTCATTTGACAAATAGAAAAACTAAAAAGAACAGTCTTAATTATTACGTTCCTATTTATACACCGCTGGGGCAAACCTTTCCTATTGATGGATTCGATCGACAAGGGTACAGTGTGCATTGGTGGGATTAAGTGCTGCATATCAAACCAAGGACCAAGGGCTTCCAAAGCAAGAGAAGCTCAAGAACATAAATTTTTGTTTGCCCATCCTCTATGATATAAAGGTTATTTATTTAATTAATTTTGCATTCACAATGCTCTACTTATAATTACTGATAGGACCAACTTCCATATCGCATACTATACGCACTAATCACCACTATGTCATCCAGCTAATTGAGATTCTTGGAAAACAGAAACCAATGTCTTGATATGACAAAGCCTGATTGAGGTTTTCAACATTCATAACTAATAGGGGGTAAAATATGAAATTGCCGATTTGTACTGAAAGTCTATTGTTTATGTTTAACTTTTAACAAATTTATTTGATCAAAATACGAGTAGTTACCATTATTATCTATACATTGCTGCCGTCTAATAGGAAGACTAGACTGCACAAACTGTGGCAAAGCATTTTGTACTGCCTCCTGGGAAGAAAACTTCTTGTCACATAGTTAATTATCCAAATCACGAAAAAAATGGTAGTCCATTGGAGCAAGGTCTGGTGAATACGGAGGACAACGAATGGTTTCTAACTGCAGTTCCTGAAGAGTCAAAACGGTTTCTCGTGCTGTATGAGGTCTCGCGTTGTCGTGGAGCAAATATGGTGAAGCTCGATTCATCAGTCGAGGCTGTTTTACTGTTAATTTTGCCGACATTGTTGGGAGTTTTGCCGTTATTGCTTGACCAGATCGGAGAAAACTATAGTGAATAACACCATGCCCAGACCACCAAACAGTTACCATTACCTTTTTATTGGTAAGTTTTGCTTTAGGATACTGTTGTTGCGTTTGACCTGGAGTCAGTCATTGCATTTTTCTTTTACGGTTATCATAAAAAATCGACTTTTCATCACATGTCACAATTCGATACAATATTCCTTCATTTCTCTACAGATTCAACATGGCAACACTAGTTTCAAGACGCGTTTCTTTCTGCAGATCAGTCAAATCATGAGGCACCCATATTTCGTATTTTTTTATTTTATTGATTTGACGCAAATCTATATTGTATGTAAAGTAACGTTAAATCATGTCGCTAATCTTGGGTACTTTGACTAGGATCGGCTTTCACCATCTCTCTTATTCCATCGTTTGTCACCTGTGTGGGCGGTGTTCTTCGTGACTCGTTCTCTAAGTCGAAGTTTTCATCACGAAAGCGTTTAAACCAAAATCGTATGCTGCGTTCATTAGCAGACCCCTGGTCTCTCCAAACGCAACATTGATGTTGCGGGCTGTAACTGCTACGTTACTTCCGCGTCGGAACTCGTATTCAAAAATCACCCGGATTTTCGCAGTATTCATCTTTCTTGTCTAAGTTGAATAACAAAAACAATTGAAAATCGATATTTAAATGTTTCACATTTTTTAAAAGAAGAACATCATAGAAACCATGTGAAAAATAAAATCTTTCGAAAACCTTAAACCATGAAGATTCTATGTCAATTCAAGGAACCTATTACAATAAAACGGCAATTTCACACTTTAACCCCTTATATTAACATACACGTTTGCCGAATTATGTAATACTTCGGCCACATAAATTATAGCCTATGTCATTCGCGTATGATGTACCTTCCCGTTGGTTAAAGAATTTTTTAACTCGTCGAGTAATTTGGAGCCTATTCGATGGAAACAAACAATAAAATCTTTCCTCTTTATATTATTAATATAGATTATCAGTTACACCGGGTTTTTTCATCTATCTACTTTCATGTCAAATGTAACTTCCAGCATTTTAATTTTTCATTTGCACTATCATTAACCTAAAAGATGTATAATCAATAGCTTAAATTTAAATCGTTTATTATTCATCAATCATTTAACAAAAATTAACCGTTGATAATATTTATCGAAATAGAAAAAATACTAAATGTCAGTTAAAACTTCAGCCATAATAAGATCCATGCTTGGCGCCCAGTTGAGGTTATGAATCTCCGCTTTAAAGCATTTGGCTATTTCTAAAACTTGATTACAACCATCACCATTTGGATCCACCGGGACTCCCTTCTCGCAATTGTGAAGTATGTCTATAAGCTGTGTTGCCATTGCATCATCTGCAAATAATATATTTAGATTTTTATCATATTATTTTAGACTAGCTTCGCCCGCGTGGTTCTTTATTATATATATGTAAACCTTCCTCTTGAATTGCCATATGTATATAAACATATTATTACAATTTTCAACACATATTAGTATAACATTATTTATATATTTACTTTAATATTATTTTAAACGAAAATTTATTTTAAACAAAGAGATTGACTACTTGAAGAAACTTAATATGCGGCAAAAACAATCAGATTGAAGGTAACATATACAACTCGAGGATAAATTAAAAGTAAGTCTAACCAGCCCCATGCTTCTTTGCGAATTCCATGGTGTTGCCGTGGTGCATCTTTCCCTCAGGGTCCAAGAGGTCCAGTTTTTTAGACATGCACATGATAGCACAGCCAGTGAGCCTGTTGCTAAGTTGGTAGCCATCTTTCCAAAAGTTGGCAAAGTCTGCTGAAACTTCGTCTGGGAGATCCAGCTGAAGAATAAAAAAAAGAAGGCTAAACTTAATATCGTTAGGCATTAAGTATTCATCATTGAATAATGTAATTGTCATGGAACCATTAGTAAAAAGTCTAATCGACCTTATCTATTTAAATTGATTGAATTGAACACAAAAAATATGCACTGAAAAATTGTGTAATTTTATGGACTTGTTGTATTTTAAAAACAAAAAAAATACAAATTTACACAATAATTCAACTTTAAATTCATTAATAAGATTTATCACTGGATCTAATTTAAAAAATATTAAAACTTACGTCTTTCTTACAGCTTTCCAAAGCTTTACCAAAATTTAAAGACAAATTCTTCATAATTTCTTGTGATGAATCTACATTGATAACGAAGCATGCCACCGCTAACACCAGTATCCTTACGTACAGCTTCATCTCGGAGAATTTAAAAAATAACAAAAATATTGTACTCTTCTTGCCTTATAAAGTGTTTATCGTATTAATTACTAGCTCACAACAAGTACCATTAATTCATAGTTGTATCAAAGGCTTAGTAATTAAAAAAACATAACAACACTATTTTGAAACTAAGAAGCGAATAAATGACTGACGTACCCCGAGGTTAGGTGGTAGCAAACTTTTAATTAACGTCGATATATCTACATAGTGAAGACGGTTGAAATGCAATAGATGTTCTAATTTTTTTCATTGCTTGGATAAGATAGGAGAATGAAAATTTAATTAAATTATTATACAAAAATAATAATATTTATTACACATCTAAAATTACAGACAGGGGTGACTCTTTTCAGCGGTTACAAGAAGTTTACTTAATATAGTGATATGATCCACATCTCCTAAACTATGGTCGAGTTTTGGGAGCCAATCCTCCAAAACGAAAAAGAATAAATTTTATTTAGTATAGTTAGCCTGTATGGGCTCAATCCCTTTGGCATGCCTTTGAAATATATATTTTTAAGCTCAAACTTGTTCATATTGTATGTGTGTGCATCAGTGTATATGTGTATCTAAGTGCAAAAGAGGGTAATGTGTTTATCAGTCTATGTATGTATGTTTGTTTCTATGTGGCGTTCTAGAGACCAAATGCGTAGGCCGATTTTGATAATTCTTTCGTCAATCGATTCGTCTTAACCTTGCGAGTGTCACTAAAGACATGACAGTAATCAAAATTCACCACAGCCTCAACCAGACGCCATATTGTCAAAATGAAAAAAAATAAATCGATGAACTATGTCAAGTAGGGTGTCGTTGAATAGGTTTTTTAAAATCATCTTTAGGTTCCTTTTATTATTTTCCATTTTAAATAACAGTTTAGGATATATATATATAACGATTTAAAGTTGTTTAACAAAACAATCATTCTCGCTTATTTTCTTACTTATTGATTTAAGTTTTTATTTAAAGTATAAATGATATACAAACAAAAAAAAAACAGTTTAAGAGCATGAAGACCAAATATTTTTGGTAAAAAAATAACGCATATGTAGCTTTGAGCCGAGTTAGGTCTCTAGAGAGACTAATCATCAGTAGTTTAGACCACCGCAAGTTACTTAATAATCCCTCGATATTAACTCCCTCGCTGAAATGACTAGATTGTGAAATTTACCATCTTATAACGAAGTCTACGAATCGTAACTAAAAAGTATAAAATAAAAATAAATAATACAAAGAAAAACAAAAAACCCGACTGCCTAAAAACGTATTTTATAAATACATGAAAAAATTAGCTCAAATAAAAACTAAAAAGAAAGAAACAAGCCTAGTAGTTCAAAATTTTGTTAAGTAATACAGAAAAGAACGACTCACAGTCGGTGCCCATTCAACCTCTACCAATCAAATCTGTATTTTTTAAAATACGTTTTTACGCAGTCGGGTTTTTGTTTTTCTTTAATTTGTTTATTTTTTAATCCTATTGTCCAGTTTTACGCTAAGATCATAAAAACTGTCTAGAAAAAACAAGTCTAGTGATGATACGCCACATATCGACTTTGACAGTTCGGATTTATATAAATGCTGAACAACAATGGGTACTGTGAAATAGTTAGCGGAAAGGCAAAGTCTTGATTAGTCTTTCTGCAGAAATTGCAACAATTATTTACTATAATTTAGTTAATTATTTGCTCTAAAAAATTTGAAGCCGATACCAAACAATCTAGGCAATATATACTTGTTCCATTTTCAGGCATTACTTGAAATCGATTAACATTAATAAAATATACTTTTTCCTTTTCAATCCTTTTGTAAGTTTGTATTTGCAAAGAACAATGGCGAACTCCCATATAGCTTTGGACCTGAATTTTTTAAGTTCCGTTCATGAATGAAATAAACGTGTACTTGAAGGTATAAGCTAAACTAACAAAATCCTAATCGTCTTTTTCCTTTAAAAGTTGGGATTAAAAAGATATGGCATAAAATACTTTGTGAGGTTATATATTGCATCTTTGCTTTTTCGTTGAATGGACGTTAAAATAAATAAAAATGGTAACCAGGTTACTCCGTTTAATAAACTAGATTAAAATATTTACATATCTAACAAGATCCAGACACTTATAATAGAAGAAACATTTATAACATATGACTAGACTGTGTGGAGTAGATCCCTTTGCCTTTAATTAAATCACATTGAACTGTCATTGTTATAACCGAATCGATTGCCATTCGGAATCCAAAAGTAATGCAAATATCAACGATAGTCGAAGAAACATGCTTAGTTGTCAAGTTGAATAATAACATAAATATCAAACTCCACACACGAACACACAATAAACAAATCAAATCATCCGCTATCATTCCACCATCATCATCATAGAACATTCATAGATGAAAACAAGCATGTCAAAATAAAATCAACCAATCGATTATTTAGAACTAAATATAAATTCAAAAAAAGATTATATTTAGAACAAAATAATCGATACGTTAACCTTTTATCGGATCAACTGCAGAACTGGCAATAATCTTCTTAAATCGGTTGTGGTATCTTAGCTTTCAATTTTTTTATTTCTCAAGTATTCAATACGTAATTTAAACGAATAAAATAAAGATTTATGAAATTATTCAAAGACCGTATTTCATATAATATATTATATATAGATTTTATATTAAATATATATTTGACGTTCATTTGCTCAGTCGGTACGCATCATTACATCACATTTCTCACTTATAATTAGCAGTAAATGGCGACAGATAATATTCTATAGAACATGTTTGAAAAACCCGCGATTAATTGAGAATCGCTTCTGACACCATTGATGTATGTGATCGATTTTTCAAAAACCATCCAAACTACAACCCTTTGACATATTGTGTGGTTTTCAATTAAAGAGAACGGAATCTATTCTACACAATCTTTTTTTGAATTTATACTCGATTATTAAGCGTATTAATGGTACTTTAAAGTCAATTAATTGCAATGTACAGGAAACGATAATATTCATTAAAATAGATTTTATTGCCCAGCGCAAAATTCATGAAACACTTCCAAGATATAGTTTTATTATTAAAGTACTTCTGCGTAGACCAGAACGTTTCTTAAGAAGATTTTCGCGTTTTGTTTTTGCACTATCATCAGACGTTTTGTTATCTTGATAATTATTAGCAGCATTTAATATTTAAGTTTGGTTCCCCGACATGAAAATTCACCATTTTGTAGAAATAAAATCTATTAATCATATATTATTTATTTGTCATATTGCCATCTATGTACGGTTTTGTTAATTATAGGGTCTGATTTCGCCATTCTTCTTTACTATTGTAATTTTAATACTTTTTAATAATGTAATGGAACCATTGTCTGTTATAAGAACTAAAGAATGTATAAAAAATTCGGCTAATTCGGTTAATTAGTAAAGATTGAGTTGGTACTCCATCAACCTTCTTAAATTTTCGTACATTTTTTGATTTTTAATTAAAATTAGACCACAATGCTATGGGTACTGGAAAATATTCTAAATAGAAGAAGAAACATTTATTCTTTTGTCTTGTTACACACAAAAATCTCTTTTGTGTGTAACAAAATAAATATACGATATATAATGCTAAGCGTCGTTATCGTTATCGTGCCTGATTGGCTAATGATATAAGATTCATGTTTGGCGCTGTTTCCACGAGCGAGTGAATCGCAACGAGTCCGCACTTCTATCGTCGAGTAATCACGAATGCGCTGCCACCGTATCGTCCCGACTCGTGTCGGAATCGTAGCGTATCCCCGACGACTCGTGGTGGAATCGCAGCGTATCCGCGATGACTCGTAACGGAATTACCGCATGTGCTTGACCATGCGTGGTTCTCTTTTCACCGGACTGCGCGACGCAAAGGAAGGTAATGTGTTTATCAGTCTATATATGTATGTATGTTTGTTTCTATGTAGCGTTGTAGAGAATGTGTAGGCCGATTTTGATGATTCTTAGCCAATCGATTTGTCTTAACCTTGCGAATGTCACTAAAGACATGACAGTAATCAAAATTCACCACAGCGACAACCAGACGCCATGTTGTCAAAATGAAAAAAATAAAAATCTATGAACTATGTGAAATGGGGTATCATTGTATAGGTATTTTAAAATCATCTTTAGGTTCCTTTTATCATTTTTCATTTTAAATAATAGTTTAGGATATATAACGATAAGTTTTTTAACAAAACGTTTTCTGTAATTTTCTTACTTATTGATTTAAATTTTTATTTAAAGTATAAACGATATACAAACAAAAAAAAAACAGTGAAAAAGCATGAAGAACTAATATTTTTGGTAAAAAAATAAAGCATATGTAGCTTTGAGCCAAGTTAGGTCTCTAGAGGGACTAACCATCAGTAGTTTAGACCACCGCAAGTTACTTAATAATCCCCACAATATTATGTAACTCCCTCAATGAAATTACTAGATTGCGAAATTTACCATCTTATAACGAAGCCAACGAATCGTAATTAAAAAGTATAAAATAAAAATAAATAATTTAAAGAAAAACAAAAGACCCGACTGCGTCAAAACGAATTTTAAAAAATACATGAAAAATTAACTTAAATAAATTCGTTTGACGCAGTCGGGTTTTTGTTTTATTTGTTGGAAAAATTCAGTTAGGTGCCAGACGAAAGCGTAAGTAGTCTCATAAAATAAAACATCGTATGCACTATACGATTACTATACGAAAAACTTAATTAAATATATATATGAAACCCAATGTTTTACTATGTTTTTAATGGAAAATGCTTATGAATCCGCCAGCTCCAGATAAACCGAGATAGGATTCGAATCCACAACCTTTCGTTATTGTAATACGGCGACTGCTCTGTGGATTGTGGTGGACTTTTTTAATTAAAAATATTTATCAGTATAGCATTGTGAATGCAAAATTAATCAATCATGTCAGATGTTTATTTATGATTTCCTATATATTTAATCGTAACTTGACTCCATATTTTAGTTTGATGGACCAATTCCTGAATTTAATTCCTTGCTTTTAATTCCTTGGGTGAAAAAAAAAATGTATATAAATATATAGTTCACTTTTTATGTTTTATTTCATAGCAATAAAGAAATATCTTAATATACATACTTTCAACATTATTTAAACAAATAATTTCAATTTTACCTTATAAAACATATGTAATACTAAACAGTAATACTATATTCATTTGTAAACTAAACAAATATTTATCACTACTTGTCCTTTATATAAAACCGTGATCTAGTAAATATTTCTTTGACATTCTGGTTTGAAAACTAGAGCTTCAATCTTTATTGCATTTCTGCAATAATTTCATCGAACAGGACCTCGGGGTCGGGTGCCCAGCCTACAGCGTGCACCTCCTTCTTGAAGCACATCGCGATATCCAACGCATGCATGCATTTGTCTTCATTAGCAGGCGTCGACTGTTCACACGAGTGAAGAAACTCAACAATTTTCTTCGCCATCTCTTCACCTAAACATATATTTTTTAATTTATTTCTTGCTTAATAAAGACACTACTCACCGAAAAATATTTCAACAACTTCATAAGATTCAACAGCTCACCAGAGCCATGTTTCATAGCGAAATTGGCCGCGTTGCCATGATGTAATTTTCCCTCAGGGTCTATAAGATCCAATTTGGTGGAGAGACAGTATATAGCGCAACCAACGTCCCTGCTGCTGGTGGTGAAGTCCTCCTTCCAGAAGCTTAGAATTTGATTAGTTGTCCCTTCTCGTATGTTATACTGAAATGTATAGTTGCAAATTGAATTGACAATGAAAGAAGCCGAATCGTTTCCGTCAAGATACTAAAAATGTCTAAAAACTTTAACATTTAATAACCAAATGTCATCATTTGGTTATTAAATTAACACTTTTATAGTTTTATTGTGTAGAAATCATTACTCTAGGACACAACTTTCTAATATATTCTTACGGAAGAGAAGACGATCTACTAAGAATGAAGAAATACGATCAACATCATTTAATTATTCTATGAAAGACTCACTTCCTTTAGGCAAACTTCGTACGCCTTTAAGAAATTCTTCGTCATTGACTTCATAACCGTTTGTGATGAGTCCACCATCACGTTCATCATAAGAAACACCATCACTACAAGCACCAACATCTTTGCCTCTCGCATCTTAATACGTTTGTTTATTATGTGATGACATTCCTGTTCTTTCTGTTATATAGTTTTGTTTTGTTTATTCATCAGTTTTTAATTACTAATCTCTTTGTTCTTTTAAATGCTAGTTTAACAAGACTTATAAGCACCAATTAAAAATTTAATTTGCAGTTGTTCAGCTCAGGATGAATATACGGGAAAATATTGTTATCCGAACACGGATTTTTCTTGTTGTTTAGTATCGTTAATTTAATTAATGCAAATATAATGTTTTAATATTTCATATTGTAATATTAAAGTTTATAATTTAATTTGAATATTCATTGACAATTTCGTGTCATGGACCGTGTACAGTAGGTAATTAATGAGGGCAATGTTTATAGACATATTTGGGGGCACATCAGTACCATTCCAAGTCAAGTGCAAAACAAACACCGCCATACTATTCTTTTTGGAAATATTTCTTGCCCCATTGCCATTTGAGGACCTCTGGATAGGTTTAGAATTTATCAAGAGTGGCTAGGATAGGTTGAATCTTCCTTTTGAAATTGAAGATCTGAAGCATAGTCAACACATATTTCAAAATAAACTTAAATCATTTTTATTGGAGAAGTGCTACTATTCAATCGATGAGTACTTGAATGACAAAAATAAATGACTTGACATTCCTGTTTACCTATGATTGTTTTGACATAAGTTGTGCAACATTGATATATTTGTAATTTTGCATGTGGAATTTTATTTGACTCTCTATCGTTTTATAATTTGATCTTATTATTGTTGTTATGATTATATATTGTAATTTCCGATACAATGAATATTGTTTTATGGAATAAAGGATGATGATGAATAAGAAACTTATCAAGTAAAAAAATGTTTTTTTAAAAAGAAGTTAAATCTCACCACAAACTTGGCCGTTGTTTTGGATGTGTCAACATCTAAATGTGATAAAGAATGTCCAACGGCCGGTCTCATAAAATCTACAGTAAAGAAACTTAGACATAGCTTGCTTTGCTTAGAGATTTCATTACATTTTATAGAGAATCAAGCACGTACTCGATGTACGCGCTTGATTCTCTATAAAATGTTTCGCTAGTTTTTTACAGGATGTTTAAGGTGGGATTTTTATGTTCAGGTCATTAAAGAGAGATAATCTAATAAAGTCATTATTCAATTCAACATGTTTGTAAGAAATAAAATAAGAAAAGAAAGCAGCCCTTGCTGTGTTTTTGTTACCGGTTCTGTACGTCCTCATTTTTATTAAAATTGATAAGGCTTTGATCCTTTTTCTTTGTCAAATTAAACAGAGTATATAGGTACGAGGAAAACTAATTTTGACAAGGATAATAAATACGATTATAGATAAGTAAGCAGGTAATAATCCTTAAACAACTATCCTGAGACTATATTATTTACCAATACGACTACTAGACCTCATTGTATAATATCAAAATTTAATGTATTTGAAGTTCCTTTTCAAACTTTACTCTTTATTAAACTCTGTAGAAAAGGTTATGAATTTGACCCATGTGTTTATTTTAGCTCGTTTAGAGTGAAATATATAATATATGTGCTCAACATGTGTGCCGAATTTCGTAAATGTAAGTCTGTATATTTGTACAGACAATATTATTATGAGTATCTCTTGTTTAGGCCTCTCTTAAAAAAAATCTTCTCATTTTATTGCCAGTTAGTCTTAACGTAATTTCCTCTTGTAGTTTTTAAAATCGCTGGCATAGCTTATGGACGTTCATAAGTTTAAAATAAAATATTTTTTTTACATTTTATTATGCATTAGTATTTAATCTTGACATATGATAATTCTTGAACAATTCTAATAGTATTTTTATACACAAAAATTTGATAACAGAATACCGGCATTAAATATTTAATAATGTTTATAATATTTTTGTTCATTCTATACATAAATGTGTAGGTATAATAATAACAGAAAGTGGTGTAACGAATGGTTATTACAGCTCTGTCTAATTATATTAATTCAGTGCGATAATAGAAATTAAACTAATCAACTAATATTCCACAATCATAGTATCATCACCATAAAAAAAATTCAAATTAGATAACATTTATAACTTTACATAGGGTATAAGATGGCTTCTCACATGGCATAAAGTACTACTTTTATAAAAACTAAGTACTACTTAATGGGCGTAACGTAAACGACATGTTAACTGGCTTAATCTACTTCATGGCGAGCGTAATCGTTGTTTTAATAGAGTTCTATAACTGTTTCTACCATGGCGACTTCAGGGGCGATCCCTTCTTTCTTGGCGTCAGCTTTGAAGCAGGCTGCAACTTTCACTGTACGGTCGCAGTCATCCTTGATGTTGTCAAACTGTTTCTCACAATTCTTGATAAGTGTCACCATTTTCTCTGACAAAACCTCACCTAAAATTTGTGAAGTATAACTAATAAACATTGATGTTATCATAAAATGGTCCAGGGTACAATACAGCCTCTAGAATATGAGGGAGTGAAAAGAATGCTGTTCATCATGGGTCATGCTCGTGGAGGTGGTATACAGGATGTATTTATATAGAGCAGACGTTTACTTGTTGTAACGGCGAAATCTAAATGTCGCTGTAGAAGCTTGTTGTCAGTAATCTATAGAGATTTACTAGTAAATCATGGGATTTACAATTATGAGTTGGTTGATAAGAAACATATTAAGTTCGATCAATGACGGATGGTAAATATTGGTATTGAAAAATAATGTATATTTCTTCTTAATTTTCAATTACCTAACACTGGAACGTAATGTTAATTATCATTAAGATGTTTATTGATATTTTTAATCATGATTGTTTTATAAATCATTGGAATATATCTTAATCATTTATCAAATGTTGTAACTATTATATTTATCAGAATATAATACTAACTTAACCTAACCAACAGAATTTACTAATTGCACAGGGAGATGCATTTTCGTGTTGTATGTTTGTTTGGAGTTGTCTCTCAACATTTACCATGTTCCTGAAGTAAAACCTAAAATTTACCAAGTGCATGACGGTATAACTTCGAAATGGAGAAGGATCACAGAACAGTTGATAATGTTACCATAAAACATTATTAAATCTCGAGTTTTACAATAAAATCTTAAAATTTACTGAACTTCGGGCTTTTATGGTAACATATCTGGACCTGAAAAGCATTAGGTCGGATGTCGGGAATCTTAGGCATAACTGTATAAAAACAGAAATAGCTAAATGCAATCAAAATATTTGAAAAAGTCGTCTGATCCGACTTTATGCATGACTGTTGCTCATGAGTAAAAAGGCACAAACATACAAGAGTTAATTTGCCGGAAAGAGAAAAAAGAGTGTAGCAACGTTATGGCGATAAGTGATTTTAGCTGGTTCTGCACATCCGACCTAATGCTTTTCAGGTCCAGATATATACAATAATTCTGCATATTTTATATGATTTCCAATATATATTAATATATAAATGTATCGCCTATTTTTAAAGTGTCTGGTTAAATTATAAACTATCGGTTATGTTAGATTACAATGATTGCAGTAAGATCATAAACGGTCGATGCTCATAATTATAGTGCCACTTTAGAGTATAATCAAATCAATAAACTATTTAAAAAAAATTGTAGACTTTAGGTAATATACATTCTAAAGCCTTTACAATGTACATTTTAAAAATTCTAACCGTTCGGGAAATTCTTGATGTAGTCGAGCATGTTGACCCGATGGACTCGGGTGTCGTCATGCAGCAGGGACAGTTTATTCGACATGCAGATCAGAGCACAGCCAAGTTCTCGATGCACCACCTCGAAATCTTCGCTCCAGAAATTTTTGAACTCATCCAGGACATCAGTCGATAAGCCCGCCTGTCCACATTGATGGGAAAACAATAGGATGTTACATATAAATATTTATTACAATTTAGACAGTATGGAACTGTCAAGTAGTATTATGAACGGGATTTTTATGATTCCCCGATGTATTGACTGGTGCAAGTGCCATGATTATGTGAAAATATTACTGGTGGATATTTTTAGCAGATATATCGATCTATTCCTTCAAAATCTGTCGTGTTCGATACCTCTAAGTTGTACCAGTACATTATCTTGAAGGAATCGACTCAGATCGTATAGGTAGATTAGACCATGGCGCACCACGCAGACACATTGCGAATTGGTGGGTGTTACCGACTGCAGATGCAGCCAGGATCAACGCTTTAACACGTCTTTAGTCACCCATCCTATGACCGGCCCGTACGAAATTAGCTGAACAACCGTATCGCGGACCGGGCGCGCTAACCACCGCGCCATCGAGCTCCTTATATATATTATCATTAGTACTTTTGAATCCTTACCTCTTCTCGACATTCGTCCAAAGCTTTCCCGAAGTGAGCGGTGACATGGCTCATCACCTCCGCTGTTCCCTTCACCGATGTGATGGCAGCCACCACCATCATCCCCAGACAAAAACATTTGCAGACCATTATATGTTCTCTCTCTTCACTTATCGCCAAAGTGGCTGAGCAATTCACTGTTCCTCATTATATTAAGCATTTGTTTTTTTTTATTATATATTGTATATTATTATGAAACCAATTTTCTTATTCACATGAGGTAACTCCTATTTCATTTCGATTAAAGTTTATTTTGTGTCGTATAACTGTTGTGTTAAAGTTGTGGTAGTAATGACGACTTCGTATAAAAGTAATGGCATGTTAAGTAAGAGCAAGTCATGTAGTAGTTTAACCTTGTTATTTGCTACAAGCATTAGCTATGATTAAGGGTGTCGATAATTGAAGACACAGCGCGACGAAGAGAAAAGACCTAGATTAGGATTATTCAACAACTTTTTTTTACTTGGCATAAAAACTCCATAGGCAATTTAAATGAAAAAAAAAAGAAAACAGAAACACCCTGATATTTGCCTATTTTATTTGTTGTTATGCTTTAAATATATCATGAGGTAAATTTCGCTTTGTTGATTTAATTAATCTTTTTACATTTGCTTCTCTTTTGATAAAACATAATCTGAAATTATTCAAGTTCACAATATAAAAGTACCAAACAATACTAATATTAGATATGTTTCTAAAAATATAATAATCAATTCTGACTTTCCAAAAAAGTAAAAAAATACCGATTTAAATTCGCATATTTTTTGTTAAAAATTTGGCGTTCACAGAGTTTTGTGTACATGTTTCTTCATTATACAAACAAATATATTTTTTTTATTAAAAATTCGTTCAAGTCAAAAAGTATTAGTTAAAACTATTGTATAAAGAACATCACTATACCTATATAGCAATTAACATAATCGTTTACAAACCGTCTAATATCATATTCTAAGATATGCCATGCGTGTAATAGCAACTCTTAAGTGTGGGTTATGAAGGAGGCATGCAAGATGTATGTATGTAGACTCAGATGAAAGAAAAACTTAGCGTTACACTGACGTGGAGATGCAAGCTGCGTCCAGCCTTAAGGGTGTGCTAGACAAAAGAGAAAGCGAGACGCACTCAACGCGAATACGAATAAGATAGATAGGGACAGATAGATTGTGTGTCAAAACTTATTTTCATTAATTACTAGCAAACCATCCGATTATTATTAAAGTTGTCTGTAAAGACTTCGGCTACGAAAAGATTCACATATTCATAAATTTTTACTGTTATAAATTGTGAACTTTTACATTTATTTACGGTAAAGATATATTAAAAAAGTCGAGCCTTGCGATATCTCCCAAAATTTAATCTCACTTTGTTTGTCAATAATAGATCAATACGTAACACCTACATAAACAAGCAACTGTAGAAATAAGACTAGTGGTCTTATGTCATTATTATTAATTGATTGAGAATTCCATGATCATGCATGCTACAGCATAGAAATATCGGGAGTCGATTAATTTTAGTTACAAGTTTTAAGTTTTTTCATTTTAATTGCACACCACGTCAGATTATCACGAAATTATTGTAATTATTTTCCAATACCAAATTTGAACTTGCTTATTATATTAGCCAATTAACGTGTTTTTATTTATGCTACATTGCACTATTAAACAAATAACGATGGACTAAATACCATAAGGTATTCTCTACCGGTCGACCGGAGAGTTGTGAATATGAAACTTGATAAAGCGGTGCAACAAACAGAAAAAAGCAAATGATGTTAAAAACAAAAGACATCTACACTATTACAGTTACTGACTATTGAAGAAGTTTGACTATTTTGGTTAGTCCGAGCTGCAATTGATTGTACTATTTTACTGAATCACGATGCGCATCAAATTCACAAATTCAATTTTCCAGTAAAATTCTCATCCTGGGCAAAAAGTAAACTTTGCAACAATTTAGCAAGGGTAAACAAATTCGCGAATCATCGGGAACTACTTAAAATGCCTACCTTCAGTGTACCGCGAGTGAGTGATGTGCTTTGAAATAAAGGAGTTTGCATATTACAACAACAAGCTCACAGTAAAACATTACACTGTAAGTGTTTATAGTGTAAATGTGGAAAATTTGATAAATTTTCGAGATGCGAATGTACAACGTAGGTTTCAGTAATATTTCTTGATTACACGATTGCCAAAAATAGAATAGTTTTATGTCTTTTGATTGATTCTATTATGTACACTTTTTAAGAGAAATAATGACGAAAGTTATATTTTGTGCAAGAATGTACACTAAAAGTCAACACTGAAAAATGCAGAAGACAAAGGATAGAAAACACATCTTTTACGAGTAAATTCGTATGGTGAAATCAGAAGTCGTGAAAACAGGCAAAGGTAATTGAAAATAATTATAAATGACAAGGAAACAAATTTATTAAAGATCGAGCTATGATCGGTTTTCTACGCAAGTGGTCAAGTCGCAAGTGGACCGGACCGAGTATGGAATTACTCAATATTTAAAAATGAATGAGAATGAAATACATAAGTATAATATCGTGTAAATCACGAGCTATCCAACCTTCAGTATATATTAAAAAACTAAATCTACCGAAAATGACAGAAAGTTAATATTTCTACAGTGTGTGTTGGGACCGTGTCGGTGTATTGTGCAAAGACCTTTACTGTGAGCAATTGTCAGTGTGAACGTATATTAGTATGCTATACTCGACTCCCATTCTACGGGCGAGTGAACCGAGTTCGCGTCCGTGTTTGTGATGTATTAGTTTATTGTTTGGAGACTACTAATTTCTATAGTACTCTCCTACCACACATTTTTGTTTTCATTGATTGAAGTAGAAGCAATCGAAAATACATTACCTTATTATTTTTTGTTTATATAAGCATTACCTCATTGAGATTATTCTTTTTTTCTTGTAATAATGACGTGAAGATTAAACAAATATAAAGCAAATTAATAAAAAAAGATTATTGTTTTTATAAATACACAATCTATCATATGATCAGGGAAAGCTGAAATTATTTATCTTTCAACTTGTGCTACGACTTGCAATTTATTAGCGTCTTAAATTTAATATGAAAGGGGCTTAAGAAATGATTTATTGTACAAATATTTTTTCCAAAGTAACATGATATCTTTATAAAAGACAGGTTTACATGTTCATGTATTAATGATGATTACTTTCTAAACTATCATTAGCAGGGAACACAACGGTACACGCAGTAAGCAAGTTTTTTCCCATTAATCATGGAGCCTGTCTCGTACCAGGTAACACTCGGTTTTATTGAGTCAATTTTAATATAACAAGTATATTATCTATAATATTCACGATTGACACTTTAATTATAAGCCGACTCTGAATAATGTTATATCATTAAAATGATACAATATATTTTTTTTGCTATATTGTTTTATCTCAGTCAGGAATTAATATTCAATATATTAATTCATTAAACTTGGAATTTTTAAAAGTTAAAAATCTACATATATTAGAAAAGACATATTATGAGATAAATTAAGAAATTAAAATAGAACATTTTCTATTATTGTTTGAACATAGAAATATTTTTCTGTTATTTATCATATACAATCTAATAATTGTATTTTATTCTTTGCCTTTGTGAAAACAAGAGAAATTTGGTGATGTCTAACTTTTTTGACAGAGATTTATCTGATTTTTATATTTTCCTGTTCATATCTTGAATATGTTTGGATCAACCTTCTCATTTTTATCCGTTTATATATGGCCTCTTCAATCTTGCATAATATATATATATACATCTCATATGGTAAAATATAGTTTTTTATAATTATTAAGCCCTGGCGATTATCTTACGTGGGTATAAACGCTAAGTTGCCAAGCTGTATATAATTATATGTTACATCATTTTGTAAAGTATATATCGGTACCAAAAAAAAAAATGTTATAATCAATATGAGTATCTTAGTAAACAAATCATTTAATATATTCCACTCACGACATTCAAATTTTCCACCACCTGCTCACCCTATTATGGTGAACAATGAGAACCGCGACAAACATACAGTTTTTATTTAGAAATATAAAAATTTACATATAGAGCAAGCCACCGCTTCGGTAAGATTTTATTTCTCCCGTGGCAACACTAGGTGAGGGTTTGGCATAGACAATCGTTCATTGTCAGGGGTGTGTTTATGATATGCTGGGATTTGAAAGCTTGTATTCATGAGAGCTAGTGTTTGGATAGAATTTATATATCAGATAACGACTGCTCTCCATGCTTACCTGAATATGATCTCATACACAAGCATCTGATTGTAATGATTTGTTGTCTTTGATTGCAAATTTATAACTTAGATAAACTTTTGGGTATTAGGATCTACTCCAAGACGAAATCCATACTACAATAAAGAGGAAAGTTTTCATTGTTTGTTTGCTTTAATGTTTCGATTAATTATTATCATATGCGGATGACAATGGCTATTATTTACGCGGGTGAAGTCGCGAGAAAACAGCTAATCCGTACTTTTATACTAATATTATAAAGACTATACTAATATTGCAACGAATAGGCTCCGAAACTACTGTACTGATTGTATTATATCTTTGTCATGATATGAATCGATATCTAAATAAGCAGTTCCCTAGGGACCACGCAACCGAAGCCGCTGGAAAGTTAGCGATGTATAAAGTTTAATATTATACTTCGATATGTTAGTTTGGCCGCCGCATTTGTTAACAAACAAATGATTTTACTGAAGAGTTATAGTATTAATACTTACATAGTTAAACAAACAACTTGCGCGGGTGGACATAAAGCGGGCTCTTTCTAATATTTATTTTAACAAATATACAAGGTAAATAAATGATATTTCATAAATCCCCTTAACAAAGTAGAATCCTCGGGGAAAAGAGGGTTTTAATAACCAGACTTTTCAGCGAACAGTCATGAAACATTCATGCGCCCATACATCACACAGGAATGGAACCCTGAACTCACTGCAACCATCCATCAACATGTCATTGCGATCCTTACGGAACACGTAACAAAGTTATCCGTACCAACCGAAACGCTAAAATACTTTAAAAAACTGCATATCGCAAACGCACCAGTAACTTTGTCACTAAACGTCATTAGGAGGATTTCAATGTAAAAGAGAAAAAATGAACTTTGTAGAAAAAGAAATAAAGATCACAAAGAAAATTATATTGAAAGTAAGTTAAAGTCAAAAAATAAGTCACGGTATGAAAGGCGCAAGGAGATTTTGAATGTTGTAAGTGCTCTAATAA